ATGCTGCCCTTTTCTTGGGCGAAGGGGCCTATAAAACCAATAGGAAATTCGATTGAATAATTACGTCGAAAATAAAAAATCGAAAGCCAGAAGAAAAATGAAGAAAATCTGGTTACCGATGCAGGAGGCCTCCTCGAAGAGCCTTCCCCCTGTTGGTTGCCTGTTGTCTTCGCCGGCGCTATAGTCTTCGCCGGCGGTGGAGGTTTTGTCGAAGGGACCCCTCCTTGTGGGCCTCCTGTAGCCTTCTTGACCAAGGGTTTTCGAACAACTGAAAGCGAAAAGGAAAGTTAACAAGCTAACAGTCGAAGAGAAAGATAAAAAGTAATGTGAGAGTGTGAACTTACATTTCTTTACTTTGTCAAACACAAGGACAAAAGACTTTTGCAACTCTGCTGTGAAGTCCTTCTCGTCGAAGAAGTACTCAGCGTAATAGCTTCTCCACCATTCTTCAAAAGATGGCGAACAAAGGAAGTTAAGCTGGTAGTTGAACAGCGAGAGGATGGTTCGACCAGCATATCTTCCGATATGCCTGGTGGCAGCTTCTTCTGTATAATCGTTGCAGAAGTACAACATTGACTTCTCTCTTGGGAAAATGGGAGAAGGCAGGGTTTGGATGATACCAAACTGGCGAGATACCAGATTTGGTTGATAGGCAAGCAGACTCAGATGAGTCTTAGAACTCTTAAATCGAAGAGGCATAATCCTTGGGGTAAGGAATGCCTCCCACAGTATGGTGTGCTCATCAACATTGGGACCACTCGACTCCTTGGGATGCGGCCTTGTAAACCATGCTGGCCCCACCTTTCGTTGTGCAAATGGAGCCATAGTCGAAACAAATTCCTTCCTTCGAGCGAACATCAGGACGAAGTTAGTGAAGGTTTGTTGGAACTCTAGCCCATCTTCCACAGGTGTCAGTAGAGCCAGCCTAATTCCTTCGATACGTCTATTAGCTATCGCTGGGGCTTGTTCATTTATCTGAGTCTTCTTGGGTAAGAAAGACTCGAAAGTGGCGTTAAGCCACAGTTGAAGTAGCCAGAAAGGCCCAGCGAGTAGCAAACTGTTCCTATCTTCGATATGCTTCAGGAGAGTAACCCCATTGCTGATTGAGTCATAAAGACTGGCCAGAATCAGTTCTGCCAAACAGATGTTCTGGCGGTGATGCAATTGGGTGGCCAGAGTGACCATCTTTTTGGTCACTTGCAGAGACTTCGAACAGAACACGAAGCGAGTTAGCCATAAGGCTAGAAACGCTATGTGTTCAACGTCGGACACTGTGTCTGTCGACTGGTCGTGAAAATGGTTGATAAAGGTGGTGAATGTTGGCTTCGTCTCAGAAAAGCCAATTTGGTCCTCCGACATCTCTTCCGGGTCGAAGTAATCTCCGGTTGGTCGAAGGCCAGTGATGGCTGCTACGTCGAAGAGTGTGGGAGTTAACATCCCACATGGAAGGTGAAAGGTGAAGTGGGAGTTATCCCAGAACAACATCGAAGCTATAAGCATCTCTGGGGAGTAGTTTAAGCCTGTCTTCGACAGCATTATTAGGTCAAAGATGCCCATTTCCTTCCAGACTGGAGTTTGATGTTTTTCCAGCTTTGTTAGCCAAGCAACATAGTCCTGGGTGAGATTAGGGCAAGACCTAAAAACTCTAACACTTCTGTTGAAGAAACGAAGGTCGATCTTCTCGTGTGTGGGGTCTTCGTTGTCTTCTGGATCCTTCTTAGCACAAGCTACTGGCTTGAGTTTCTCGACGATGGGAAAGTAGCTCTTGATCTTCAGAGCTTCAGAGATGCTGGGGTTCATGGGTCCAGCCATTGCGAAGATTTGGTTGGAGTATCCAACCGGAATCATCAAGTGACGCGAGTAAGCATCACGAACGGAGATGTCAGATGGTTCAGGGACCCTTCGTTTCCCTGTAGCGTTCACTACCGGAGCAGTTACAAAGACCTTGGGTTTAGCAAGTTGTTCAGTTGGTGCGTTAGTCTTGGGGGCAGTTGAAGCAGAAGCCATTGTTGAGGATGAAGATGAAGTTGGAAAAGGAAGAGTTTTTCTGCAAAGAAAACAAGTTTGCAAGAAAGCAAGGAAGTTTGAGAAATGGTTTGCGTGAAAAGTCCCACAATGGGATATTCACTACTATTTATAGTAGTGGGAGAAGTTCCCAATAACGAGGGCATTAAATGTCATTTAATGCTGCAGGAAGTAGTGGGACGCGTGGCAGCATCCTGTTGTTTTGGCCGTTTCTGCAGAAACAGAGAGACGCAGCGTGCGTCCTCGTTTTTTGAATTTGTCATAATGACAAATTATGAAGTGATGTTTTGGTTCTGCACGCCGTACTGACAGTGACGTCCTAGGATCAAATCAATGATGATTTCTTGGGATTGCCAATAGTTGGTAAAAAGCAACAAAAAGTGCACAAGTTAACTTGTGACTAAGCGTGGAAAAACAGGTGTCGAATGGCGTTTTCAAAGAATGCCTTTTTCTTTCAAGAGTCGAAATAAGGCATTCTTGGGGGGCAATTTGTTGGCTCTTAAATTCGACACCTTTGTTTTGATTGATGGCAGCCATTAAAAGCTGAAAGATGCTTTCGACTGGCTAAGTCTGTCGAAATGTCCGTCGAAAGATGGCAAAATACTTAGAAGATTTCTTCCAAGGAAGAAGGCTGATTGCCTTCGACGTCGAAGGAGTTTTCGTCGAAGACGTCTCTTGATGAAGGTGTTCGATGATCCAGAAGTGGAGCAGTTTGAAATTCAAAGCTTTGGAGGGAAAACGGTTTCCAGCAGTTACTACGTGCGAACGTGCAAGGATCTGGAGCGTCGAGCATGAAGAACGTGACAAGTGGCTTGATCTCGAAGCAGTGTAACTGCCCGACGGTTACTTGGAATGTTTTTGTATAAATAGGAGTAGACGTGTAGTTTCTCGCGTGTGTTCACAATAGATACATAGTCACTCATTTAGATTCAAGTACCCAGTGTGAGCGAACGAATTGTTGAGAAATGTATGTGTGAAACACCAATTTAATCAATTCAAGTCATTTACTTTTCCAGTATTTTACTTGCTTTCTCCTTTAAGATTCCTGTCGAACCTTTACATTCAAGCTTTGTTTATTTTACCAAGCCTTTTCCTTTATGCAATTTACTTTAAACAATTTACTTAAAGCCTTATCCACATTAATTAAACTTCAAAATCAACCTATGTCCATAGGATCAATCTGATCGATCCTGCGAGTAACCAAATAAGTAACCATTTGGAGGATCAGCGGTTGTTTACCAAATCCCTAGGTAAACACCGACCCTTGGGGACTTAAGCGTTGTATTGTGTAGAATGAAAATAACACATCTTTTTTATGAAAATATTTTTAAAAGAAAAGCTCGAAGGCAAAATAGATTTGAATGTTTCTATTTTTTACCTTGAAAAAGGGTTTGATGGTTTGAACCACATTAAAGACTATGACATGAGAGACTTTGGATAGTCGAGTCAGATACCTCGTATCCAAAGTAACTGTAAGAATAAGATTTGATTCTACAATATTATATCTAAGTTTTAATGATAACAAATGAGTATGTTGTTTAAACAATTTTGACACACTAATGTTTGTTATTGTTCAATACTAAATAAACAGATTCTGCTTCTGATGGATGGCGTGGCCATGACATTAGAAGAGAATTAGTTTTTCTTATGTGCTACATAAGTTCTATTGAACAGTAGCAAGACAATTTAGAAGGTTCTGAAGTGTAAGCCCTGATATTTGTATAAAGAAACCAGTCAGAAGATCAGAAGAAAGAAGTTGCTACTTACGTCTAGATGCTAAAGACTCAAGCTTCTAAAGACAACATGTTATAAGGAAACAGTCAGAAGATCTGAAGACAGAAGTTGCCAATTAAGTCAAGATAATATAGACTCAAGTTTTATAAGACAATTTGTTCCAAAAAAACCAAGTTATAAGATCTGAAGACAAAGTTCCTACTAAAGCCCATATGCTAAAAACATAGTTTCTAATAAAAGACAACTTATTTCAAAGAAGACAAAGTTAAAAGATCTGAAGACAATGTTTCTAACTGTAACTTGTCGAGCTCATTTTCATTGGAGAAAAATGCCTTTACGGTTGCTAAGTTACATGCATGGACAAGAAGTTGAAAGCTTTACTAACCTCAAAACTTTCCTATCGTTTCGTAGCTCAATTATTAAAATAATCAATCTTATTTCTAAATAAATTAAAAAGTGATGAGCCTATTTTCTTCACACCGATTGAATATTGGATTGATGTGAAAATTCATTAGAAAATCTATATTTTGATATAGTAAAAAAAGTTGGAAAATAGTATTAGGTGATTTATATATAGAGAGAGAAGGTCTGTAAATTTTGTTGTCAGGAAAATAGATCACATGGACAAGAGTAAAATAACTAGAGATGGAAAAAAATCTAAAAAATATATAAGAAACTATTAATCCTTAATTTTTATAATGTCCGGAATGTTGGATTTTCCATGTTCTTAAAACAGTCAAAAGAAAGCACGATTTACATCTTCATTTTTTTTTTCATTTTGTATATAAATCTCAAAAAATCCAAAGGTCAGTATTCAATTTTAAACTTATTACTATCTTTTAGCATGATGAATGTCCTAATAACTAAAAATTTAAATATAGTGGTCCATGGGCCCTTCCAAATTTTCCATTGTATGAATAACATTGATATACAACTATATTGCAGTACTAGGAGATGTTCACCCAAAATACAGTTATAGTGGACAGACAGAAAAAGAAAAAGACAGACTCCAATGGATGGTGGAGATGGATCCATTTGAATCTAACGGGTGAGGGATTGGCTCGTGTTCCATGCTTCAACAAAAATATATGGAGGCATTAATGACTTGTTAGGCAAGAGAATGTGTGGTGGAAAATGTGGCAGGACACACAAGATATCTCTATAAATTACAACATGTATGAATGAACAAATGCAACACAACATCAACCTAGTAGCAAATTCTTTCTATTGATTCAAGCATTATGGCTTATGCTAAGGTCTCTCTTTTGCCTCTCTTCCTGCTTGCCACCTTAGGTATGTCTTATATATATACATAAATATATATGCTATCTGAATTGTTAAATTTTTTTTTCAAATTGATAAAATGTGTCGGTAAATTTAAACTGTGCATATGGGCACCATATATATTGAAGTATATATATGCATTAATTTGTGAGATTTATCATCACCATTTGCAGTAATAATATTTTCGATGGAGAAGGTAGAAGCAGTTGATTTTCTGATGGAGAAGGTAGGAGAAGATAATTGTGAAGATTTATTTTGTAACATATTTGGGAAAAAATGCGATGAACGTTGTGGCCATTGTGAATGTGTATCTTTTGGGAAAGATTCAGATCCTTTTCCTAGAGTAAGATGCGAGAAAGATTCATATGTTAGGAAGATAGTGGAACAAACTCCTAACTTATGTGAAACTCACGTGGACTGTATAAAAAAAGAAAGCGGGAGCTTCTGCGCTTTCATTCCAAATTCAAATATTCATCATGGCATGTGTTTTGACTCTAACTCCCAAGCTCAAGCCACAATCAAGAATATTCTAATTTCTGAATTCTCAAACTTGTTGAAGATGACTTCGGCAATTTAAACTTAATATGTACAACAAAAACTATCCATGCATGATCTCTCTACTTAAATAAAAAATCTTCCTATGTCTTTATTTCAATCCATGTTTGGATTTCTTAGACACTTAAGTTTATAAAATAATATATGCATGTGTGTGGTTATGTACGTTGTTATTGATGTTTTATCTTTGCAAGAGTAATGTAATCTATTGGCTCTATGTATGTTTTCATGAATCTTTTAATGAGAGATTGAGACTATTGGTGTTTGATTTGCATATCTTGTTAATCCTAGGACGTTGGTTGGCCCATTTTATGCCAAAGTTCACTCCAAACTATTTTATTTTCTTTTGTTTTTTTGGAACAATTGGAATTAAGTTAATATTTAGGATATGGATAAGACATAACTTAAAATACTCATTACACAAATTTTAAGGCAATAGTTCTAGACATATTGAAGCAAAATTCTTGTAGATTTTAAATTAAAAACTTAGTTTTGAACAATTATCAAACAATATACACTTGACTTAAAAAATTCTCATCTTAAATTTTATCATTTAAGGAATTTAAAATAAATAAATAAATAAATTCTGATTAAAGTAACAATAAATTCAATTAGTAATAAAAAATTACAATATTTAGGTTGGTTTGAAATCTCCATAATTCAAAGAATTTTTATCTTTTTATTTGTTGCTCTTCGGCTTGTTGTTTTTGTTTGCCCATTGATTTTTTTTTTTATTATGCAAATTAAAAAAATTTAAAACAAATTATTTCATTATCAAGGTAACCTATCTATATTTTCACTATTTCAAATATTCAAATATGTCAATTGAAAATGGATGTGTTGGAAATGGATGTTTCTAGCTTTTCCTATTGTATTAAACATTTTGTTGGAAATTGGAGAATTTTGTATTGTTGTTTTTAACTTTTTTTTATTGTATTAAATATTTTACATATATGAATTATCCTAGTTCCAATGGAATTAGACGCAGACGCATCCACACGCGAGAACGAAAGTGGAGAACGGTGTAAGGAATTTAAAATAAATAAAAAAGTAACATATGATTAAAGTAACAATAAATTCATAATAAGTGATGATAATGAGGTAAACAATCATAAAAGATATCGATGCATTGAAGGAATATGATCATTGGACCATATATGTGTTAAAGAACATAAAATATGCACGATGAGATGCATATCATTCGAAATACAGTGGTGTGTTTAAGTTGATTTTCAAGAATACTTTAATTTTTAGATTATATAGTTATTTATCAATTTTAATGATTGTATTTCTTTAATGAGGTGTGGTAAAACAAGCAATATACATTTGGTATATAATAAATTATGAGTACTTTCCACAATGATTTTCTATTTTAGCCGTGATCTAATGTAATTTATTTGTTGTTGCTGGGTTTTTAACCCACTGCCATATATATCACTGTAGTTGATAAGCATAACCATTGTGATATCACGTGCGCTTTCCAATAAACCCAACCGTTGTTAAATGGGTTTTTCGTAGTAGTGTGATATAAGATGGTTTTAGAGAATTGTTTAGAAATGAGGAAATGGTATTGGTTTTTTGGATGTTCAATTACAAATTACCAATTGCCTCTTTATAGACTCAAGTCACCAACTTCTTAATGGTGGTGAATGTTTCTATATTATTTTAGTTATCTCTATATGTTTCATGATATATTAGTATCATGATAGTTCTAGGTTCTTCTAGCATTTCTATACTCATAATACTTAAGAATATTCTAGAAATTTGTAGCAATTTCAACACTCCTCCTTATTGCAAATTTTTGTGACTCCAAGTGTAGCTCGTGGTTCTTCTTATCTTGGTGTCGGTAATGCCTTCAGGTATATGTTTAAGATTTTATCTTCTCTGCTATAATAGTTGAGTCTTATCTCTTAAGTTGCTTCAACTTCTCTAACAGAGAGATACTTAATTGCTATGTGTTTTGTTCTACTGTGATGCACTAGATTTTTTTGTCATTGCAATTACTAATTTATTGTTGCAGTTTTCTATAATAGGCTCATTTTGTTTTTCCCCCATGTCTTCAAGCATCCTGCGACCCATATAGCTTGACTCTTTTCTTCAGCAACTGCTACGTACTCTACTTCTGCTATTGACTGTACAATCATAGCTTGCTTCTTCGACCCCCAAGAGAAATATTTTGATCCGGGTGAGAAAGCATAGTCATAAGGGCTCTTCATGCCATATATCGAACCTTCCCTTTCATTGTCGGTGTAGCCAAGTAATCTTGAGTCGTATTTGGTAGTGTACCATATACCGAAATCTTTTGTTCCTTGTAGATACTTGGTAGAACCTTGGTAGAATACTTGTAACATACATTATGTTTGGCAATGTAGTTGTCAAATATATAAGGCTTATAATTAGGATTTTGTATATGGATGCATCAACTTCTAGTGCTCCGTCAACTTTCTAAAGTTTATTATTTGTCATAGATGGAGTAGCGACAAGTTTGCAACGGTACATCTTGAATTTCTTAAGTAAGGCTTATGTGTATTTCTTTTGCGAGATGGAAATTTATCATCTCTTTAACTTATTTCTATATCATGGAAGTTACTCATTAAACCAAGATAGGTCATTTTAAAGGTGTTCACCATGTCTTCTTTGAAGTCCAACATAATCTTAATAGTATTTCCCATGTAGATAAGATCATCTACGTATAGAGAGAGTAATATAGTGTAATGGCCATCAGACTTGATGTATAGCATTGTCTCACTCTTGTTCCTCCTGGATCCTCGATCCATGACATATTGATGGATTCAGCTATACCATGCTCAAGGTGCTTGTGTCATACCATGTAATACTTTTCTTAGTCTTAACACTTTGCTTTCTTCACCTTCAAACACGAATCATAGTGGCTGCTCCACATGGATCTCTTGTTGAAGTACACCATTGAGGAAGACACTAATCCTTGCATTCTTTTTGTACTGCTGGAGCAATTAGAACTCTTTTTGTATTAAGAAGAGTTACTGATGCAAATGTCTCCTTGTAACATCCGAATTCAATTAATTTGTTTAATTGAATTTAGTTGCATTTTATTTGATTTACGAGGTGAATTATATGCTTTATTTTAATTAAATGTGAATATATGTGTTTTGGTGGATGTTGGGGAGAGTTAAGTGGGATGATGGAAATTAATTAAAATTTTAAGATTAGTAGAATTATTTAAAAAGGGAGAACAATTGTTGAAATAAATAAATAAGAAATAATAGAGGTTGCTAGATTTTGGTGGAAAAATAGATTAAATAATAATGTAAATAGAAAATAGAGTTAGGCAGGAAGGGTAAAAGGGGAATAGCTAAAACAGGGAATTAGGTTTATGATTTAAATGAGGGATTGGAGAACCTGAAAGTTGTTAGTATGTACAATTTGGTAGTTTGGGAGAATATAAGCAACCAGAATAAATAGGAGGAATAAGACATTGGGAAGTATAAAACTAGGGATCAAAGTGCTTGAGGGAATTGCTTTTTATCTATGTGTGATTGATGAATGGTGAAGAGGGATCCTCACCCTATTCTAAGTTGTTTTAAATTTGTTGTGTTGTTCATGAGTCATTTGTGTGTCATGAGGAATTCATGTTATAAGCTCTGTTAATGTATGATTATTCTTGCTATAAAGCATGCTGATTTTCGTATACGAATTGTTATGTGAATTCTAGAATTGATGGTTTCCATGGATGTGTTTTGATATTTTGAATATTATCATGCTTTTTGTGATAGATTTGTTATTCGGTGGTGATTCAATGTTTATAAAAATGGCATGATTATATTATTTAATTTCATGTGTGTTTTGGGTGATTGGATGCCATGGCAGCAAATGCCATTTCTTTCTTCTGGTTCAGGGTGACGTTTGTCACCAGTGTGATGAGCACACAATCATAGTCTCTAGGCGGGAATTCTCCTTCCAGTCATCACAGGGGTGTCGGGCCGAGTGGTTTTAGATGCCAGTCTAGGTGACGGTTGTCACTTAGTTAACCAACTGACTGTCACATTGTCTGTGGACATGTTTTGAGTCGTTGGTTAACTTTTAGATTATCATTTTGTCGTAAGGACGATATTTGGCCGTTGTTTGACTAGTTTTGGGTGAAAATAATTGATTAAATTATTATAATATATATGTAATTATAATAATTAATCAATGTTATTGTTTGTGAGCCGTGTAGTTGTTAATAATCATGTGATGAGCATATAATCGTGTTTGTTGAGGTGACTAGTTTAGAAGTGGGGACTACTTTAATGTTGTTATGCATGATTATTTATAGTTTGAAATGGAACTATAAACATTTTTGTTTTGTTGTATGGTTGCATTGTTGTATGTCATGTATCATAGGTTGTTGTGTTCTGAAAGAGGTGTGTTATGGGTTCAGGAGTGGGGACCTATACATGTCTAAGGTCTAGGAGTGGAGACCTATACATGTCTAGGGTCCATAAGTGGGGACTCAGGGTTCAAAAGTGGGAACCGGGCTCAAATGCAGAACCTTGTTGTATGGACAAATATTAGTAATAGAAATCTAATGTCCAATTGGTACCACATGCATCGTGTCGAGTCATGAGTCACATTGTATATATAAAGTTTGTGAGTTTTATTTGAATTGTTTGTTGTGCTGAGTGAGAATAATTGTTTGTGGTGTTTATGTGTAATTGAATAAGTGTTGTTGTTGTGTATTTTAATCTACCCTTGTGTTCTTTACACCGCTAATATATCAAAGTTTATTCTCACCTCTTTCTTGTTTTTCTATGTTGTTTTGAACCTTATTATATTCACCCCTTTCAAGTGGAGTCATCTTGTTGTTGTGACTAATAATGCAAAATTATATCGTATATTCGACTTTACTCGCCTACATTTTTGTTTCATTTTTGTTCATTTTTATCTTGTTATGCCGGTATTTTTATTCTACTTTAGATACACCATATCACAAAGCTTCCATGTTAAAAAGATAGAGAAATGGCCATGATACTGAGAAGATTGGAAGAAATAAGAAAAAGAACA